CGTGGAATGTCAGAACCGACAAACCTACCCAAGAGGACAACCATATCTGAGTGAGCTTTAAACTCAAAATGGGTATGTGTGCTGAGAATAAAATGAAAAAAGAGGGGTAGTTGTTGTGAGCTAAAAGAATTGATGAGAGTTGTGTCAGGATCAAAAGAATAAACAAGATCTTGTTCCAAACATATATTGAATCAAAAGGATATATGTCCCCCCTTTCAAGTCTTTTTGATCACTAATTGAGTCTGATAAATTTGTTTAGTCCTCATAGTTTATCATGTTGAGCCTAAACAGAAGCATATGTTGCTTTATCTTTCTACCGGGTATGTGCCAAGGTTCCCTACTCATTGCTCTTCCTCCCTTTTGAGCAATGAGTATTCACAATCGTAGAAAGTCTCACCCATCCAACCCGGGATCTTGACTTTGCCATAAACTTTCGGCATGCCACACGAAGTAGTACCCGTACTATGGCATACAATTCAAGGAATAAAACAACAAGTCCGGATCCGGGAAACAAACCGATGTAACGAGATCATAATATGAAATAGACTCAAGAAACGGAATCAAAGACAAGTCAAGATTGTGTGACTCAATTGAAGACCAAAAACATTCGTATGAAAATATATGTGTTCAAAACAGTATGTAACAATTAACTATATAACTCACCGGGCAACCGTATAATACCGAAAAGCTCCAAAATGAGCTCACAAAGCGAGTCCAAGCTACCACACTAAGAATGCTTCCAAAGAATCAAAATATGTCCTAATTACCCCCTGAAGTAGATGTACAAAATCTCATAAGCAACCAATATAAGAAACTCATGTTATACACATATCCTATTTGAACACTTTACTTAGATTTCTATGTACAGCTACTGCATGCAGAACTGTTTTACCCATTTTAAACTCAAATTCATGCCTTGATCATAAAATAAGAAATAAACTACACTCAATTTCTAACTAAGGAAATTGGCCTCACCTCATTTGGATTTTCCTATGATTTTATACAGTTTTTCAAAGTCTGCACACTTTCAATGCATTCTTAAGTCGAAATCCTTATTTTCATACATTCTTATCAAACCATTTCGATCCCAAATTATTCCAACTTCTGAATCTCAACTTAATATAACATATTTGACATAAACAACCAAAATCCAACCTTTATTTTATCATTTATATTATCTCCCAAATCATTGACTTGATAAAGTCAAAGTTCATATGATGAACTTACATAAATCTTGATAATCTATTGAATCTAATGACCATTTCATGACACAAACACTAAAATGCACTCATTTTATACACTTAAGATCAAACTCATATGAAACCCTAACTCTATCTGAACATGCAATCCATATAACAAGAATATCAACCAAGAACAAGTGAAAAAATGGATTATACCTTACTTGATGATCAAATCTTTCAAAGATCTTGTAGTTCCTCTTTGATTTGAGTTGAATCAAGCCTATGTGTGTGAAAATCGTACCTTTAATGTGTGTGTGAGTTCTGGACTCAAATGACATGAAAAATGGGCCAAAAATTCCAATTTATTATGCTAAAACCCGAGTTGGGTCGATTTGACCCGACTATGTACCCATTTTGACTATCAACACTTAAAATATTCATAACTTTTAGCTCGGACCTTCGTTTTCTATGAGGTTTTCACCTACACGTTCATAAAGAGATAATATATAACATCCAACAACATATTCCAAAAATGATCTCCCAAAAAAATCAATTTTACGTATCTATTTGACGTGAAATGTAATAACCCATATAGCCCAAGTACAGATAATTCACATCATCATACTCATAATACTCAAAATAGTATTGTTACAAAACATGGACTAATAAAAACTTTCTTTAATACAAATATATGAGTAAATAAAATGCCATCAACACTAAACTTTTCCATTTCCTTTATCTTGTGAAGTATGATGATCTGCAAAACCGGTTAGTCCAACAACTGAGCGTTAGACCAAAAAGGTCTAGTGAGT